CCACGCCTGGAACTGCTTCCAAACAGGGCTGACGGCATGTAATTATGGGGTTTTTACACACCCCAAGGCAGATTCCTCAAATTAAACTGTCTGTTTTCTCCTTTATCCCCCACATCATGACTCCTTCTGGAACTGGAGATGCTCTGGAGATGGCTTTATTACCCCAGCCCAGCTTCACATTTCTGAGACTCATAAACACCCAACTGTTTTCACGGTATTGCGGTACACAGCATTCCCTGATACTGCGAAGCTGCCGTCTGCAGACACAGTGCACAGTGCCTTCATCTTAGGAGCCAGGGAGGAGCAGGGTCACAGTGAGGAGAGCCTTGGGAGTGCCAGCCGTGCCCTTAGTCACAGATCAGTAGCCGCCTTCAAGCAGGACAGTGATGTCAGCTGTCTTCCTCTCTCTCTGGGACCCTGGGGTGGAGGTCTGATCCCGTTCAAAAGGACAGTCACTGCCTGAAAGGACCCTGTCATCAAAGGGAGGAAGCAACTATTTTTTTGTATCACGTGACTTCAGCTTTTATGACTAAATGAATACTTAAATCTCAAAAGTCTAATCATTACCATTTACTGCCTAAAAATAACTGTCTCCCTTAGTCCATATTTAGAACAGAAAATACTGGCCTCCTCAGAGTCTCCACTGCCCTAGAAGGGCCGCCCAACAGAACAGCTTCCATTACCCCTTCCTGGCTGTGCCTGTATGCTCCTATGTCCTGAGCATGGAGACCAGAGAGAAGAGAGATCTACATCAAAGGCTACTCTGTGCCCACATGTCACTACGGCCATGGTGCCTGCTCCTGTGAGTCAACACCAGACAGACTGACTTCAAGGGGTCATTGCACCTTTGTGGCCTCAACTTCCCCATATGCCAGAAAAGGTCCCCATGACTCGGCTGTACTTGGTTTCCCTTGGCCTGGGGTGGGATCCTTACCATGCTCGGCTGGAGACACGGCCAGCTGAAAGTTAGAGGGCATGATGGGAGAGGCAAGCCTCTACACACTCCCTAAAGAAACCAAGGCATGAGGGGAGGCTGAAGGGAGGCTCAGCAGGTAGAATTACTCCCCCACATTCAGGAAGAAAGAAAGCAATCTCCCCACTCTGCTGAATCCAATGACCAATAAGAGTCTTAGTAGATCCCAGAATCCTACCAGGATTCATAAGAAATTGTCCTGAAATTAGAAGTGGGAAAACAAGAACTTTATAAATGTTGGAACCTGTATTCAGGAAAAAACCAGGAGGTATGTCTGACACTGTAGCTGCCAGCCATGTAAACCTGGATCTCCAAGGACAGAGCAAGGACAAAAGGGAGGGCAGAAGGAGAGCATTGCTGGCCAAGTCTTGAGTGTTTGCAGCTAATATGAAGTCTCTCTCCAGTTGACGATGCTCCACCCTGGAGCAGGACAGCCCCTAGCGAGTTTCTTAATAATGTGGGTTCTTGTCTTTGATCCTTCAGAAATCAAGAGTGCTCCTAGTCTGTCTTGGTCTTAGCTATCTTTCAACAACCATGTTTTGATGCATATTTTTCTTTTCTCAACTATTTCTGTTGTCTATAAATTCAATTAAAATATGATGCATTCTATAATCAACAAACAAGATAAAAGTAGATGAAATCAAATTTTCCTTTCTAAGGTCTTTGGCAATACCAGTCTTTGATAATCAATATATCACTCAGCAAAATTTCTGGCACTCCTTTCTTTCATTGTTAGGGTTGTTTGATTAAACACCATGTGGAGTTATTATCTTGCACTTAATGAACATTTTTGTATGAAAATGTCATTTGGAAAAACGTTGGACCAGGCATGGTGGCACACACTTACAATCCCAGCATCCAGGAAAAGGACTGTGAGCTTAAGACCAGCTTGGGCTTTTTAGAGAGAGAGAAGTTTGGACCTCAGATACAGTAGACAGTGGTCATAACCCACCTAGTACATTTAAGACATTTAACTCAGTAATTTACTTCTTTTTTTCTCTGTTTTCCCTTCCTCCACCTTTAAGTTGAACACATGCATGCGAACACACTTGTTTGTATACTGTATTCTCAGTCCACATACATTTTTTGGATGTATATAGCATCTCATCATGGCTATCACGTTTTTGAGATATTTTTGTTTTTCAGAAGACTGGAGACTGAATCCATGGTCCCACCACTGAACTACATTTCCAACCACTGCATTTTGAGTTAGGGTCTCACTATGTACACCAAATTGGCTTTGAACTCTGTTTTAGTCTCTGGGGTGGCAGGAATGATTAGCTTGTGCCCCCAGCACGGCTCTCACTTTTAGTTCGGTACTGTTTTGAATAAGCAGGTATTATGGTGAGAACTTAAGCTTGGACACCTCCAAATCTACCTGCAGAAGCTCTTCCCATGAAATATTTTTCATAAGAACTTTTCTGATAATCTTTCATGGAATTCTACACTGCACATTTCCTGTTATATAAGTCCCTTAGTGGCTTCAGGATCTTGGCTGCTAGAGTGAGCATGTCTTATTTTCATTAAATCTTCTCATGGTTTCAGAGTTTGTGCATGTATCATAAATCTGAAAAAAATTATAGAATTCATTGAACTCCTGACAATTCTAATTTGTTTGTTAAATCTCATGTTTCCATTTAAATCATCATAGATCATGAAATTGCATGTCTCTTCACTTCAAGCTCTTACCTTTTTTGCTCTGACAACATAGTATGTTTACATACTTTAAATTGCCATGGAGTATGGTTTAGTACTGTTTCCAGTCTTAGAAGGAGGTTTTTCTCCAATATATGGTTGACAGTGGGTTAGGCATTGATGTTTGGAAAGCTGAAGAAGCTTTCTAAGTCTTTGAAGACGTCTGTCAGGAGAATGGTGACCTTTCTCTAAGTCCACTAACACTGTATTGAAAACTTCTCTGGTGTTGAACCATCCTTGCTCCCCCAAAGCAAGCCCTCTGATGCTCTTGCTTGGTGCTGGATTAAGTAGGGCCCATACTTTATCAAATTTTTTGCATCTATACTCACAAGTAAAATGAACCTATCATTCTCCTCTCACCTTTTTTCTTCATTGGTTTTGGAACCAAGATTATAGCTTTGTACTAAGGCAGACATTTTATTTTATTTTATTTTATTTTATTTATTTATTTTACCATTTTCTATTTTCCAAAACAACTTAAAACTAACTCTGAGTTGGATTCTGTGAGAACAATAAGGTTTAATTCCCATTGCAACTCCTCACGTGGTTTGTCGGTCTTGGCATTGTGGGCTTGGCTTTTTGTTTCTTGGGCTTTTTTTGTTGTTGTTCCATTAAGTGCATCCATTTTGTCCACATTTGCAAACTCATTAGTGTAGTTGTTCATAATATTCTTTGATTAATTTCTTATTTCTATTGTACTAATTGAAGCTAAAGCACTATTATAACTGTAACTAGTTATTCTGCCTTCCCCTTTTATGTTCCGGTTCTATATTGTTTGCTTGTGTTTTGTTCCTTCTCGGTCTTGCCAGACGCCTTATAAAATAGCAGGACTTGAGTTCTGTGGATCATTTCTATTGTTTTGTAGGCTCTGTTTTTTGTTTGTTTGTTTGCTTTTTCTTTCTTTTTGCTCTGTTCTCTATTTAATTGTCTCTCTTGTATCTTTATTACTAACTTCCTTCTTGTTCGTTGGATTTACTCCATTAGTTTTTTTTCTATAAGTTCTTGACCTGAAAGCTCAATTTGTTTTCTGCCGTTATTACTTCCAGTTAAATATGTTTAAAATATATATTTCCAAGAGTGGCTTAGCTGTATTCCACTAAAAACCAAAACACACACACATACACACACACGTATGTTTATGCATGTGCTTTTGTCTCATCCATCTGTCTTGTGGTGGCATGCAGCCCCTCTTAAACTTTTCCAGGTATTTTTCTTGCTATCTCTTTCATTTATTACCACCACTTTCTGAATTATTTGCTTTATTAATAGTGATTCCTTTTCATAATTTTTAGGGCTTTACTTTAACCTCATTCTGTTGCTACTTTCTCTCCTTGGTAGAGATATTCAAAAGCTTTCCCTTGCCTTAAAGACAGCAACTCCCACCTCTCTTCATTGATTTGTTGTAACTTCCTGGTGTTCTGCTTATCTGGGCTCACACTGGCCTCCAAGGTCATGGCTTCTTGAAGGCATCATCCATAACCTGTGGAACAGTCTTGTTTACTGGGGAAGAACTATGTCCAGGCTCACACCAAACCCCTAGTGTAAGCAGAGACTACTTTGTCATTACCCAGCTGCCCAGACCCAAATAATCACACAGAAACTATATTAATTACAACACTGTTTGGCTAATGACTTAGGTGTATTTCTAGCTAGCTCTCAATGAACCCATTTCGAATAGACTATGTACTGTCATGTGGCCATGATGTTACCTCATTTTCTACATGTCTTATTCCCTCAGTGACTGGCTGGCATCTTCCTGACTCTGCCTACTCTGTCTATAGATAACTGCTCAGATTTCCCGCCTGGCTTTACTCTGCTAAGCCATGTAGGAGGAAGGCCTGCTTGTTCATCCCGGCTGCATGGCTAGCCTAACCCCAAAATAACCACACAGAAACTGTATTAATTAAATCACTACTTGGCGCATTAGCTCTAGTTTCTTATTGGATAACTCTTATATTAATCTGTGTATCGCCATGTGGCAGTATCTTACCAGGTAAAATTCCCAGCGTCTGCTTCTGTCAGCTTCATGGTATCTCTCTGATTCTGCTTTCTTCCTCCCAGAATTCAGTTCCATCTTCCCCGCCTACCTAAGTTCTGCCCTATCAATAGGCCAAGTCAGTTTCTTTATTCATTAATGAAAGCAACACATAGACAGAAGGACCTCCTATAAAGCCATTGACCAAAACAGCCTTATTCATCAACCAATAAAAGCAACACATATAGAAGGGCATCCCACATCAACCCAGGAAGAAGCTGAAAGAATGGCAGAGGGGAGAGCTGCTCACCTAAGGTTGGAGTTCTGTCCCTCAGCCTCAGCCACATCTTCTTAAGCATTAGTTGAATACGCACACATCTTATTTGTGGTTAACTGTTTAATGTTTTCCTTACAGGCTGCTTCATTGGTGGTGATGGCATTGTTTGTTGCTCTTAAGAAGATGCTGTGCACATTGCGAAGCTTATGCAGCAGAGAGATCTGCAGTTCCACTTGTCCAAGGCATCCTTCCCAGGTGTCCCACTATCCAGCATCAACACCTGCTTCTGTTGGATCACAGAGGGTATGACGTAAGAACATTGTTTTCCCTTTACGTTTTGTTTGTTGTGATTTATTCTTTGGCAAAGAGAAGAAAATGGTTTGTTTGTATGCATGCATTATGATTTGTTTTGAGTAATTAAGGAAACAATTTTTATTATGGCTTAGATATAAAGTGCCTCCCAAAGTTTCAAGTGTAAGGATTGATTATCAAAGTGCTATTGGTTAGAGATAGTGACTGGGTTAGGAAGGTTCTGCCTGATAGGCTCATAATCCAACTAATGGCGGTATTGGAAAGGGATGAAAGGAGGGAAGAGGGTCACTGGGGGCATGCCTTTGTAGGATGTGTCCTGTGCCTGCTCTTCTTGACTTTTTCTTTCTTCTTTCTGGGTGTCATGAAGTAAGCAGTTCCCCAATACCAATAAAGCCAGATGACCAAGGACTGAGCCTTTCAGATAATAAAATAAATCTTTTAAAACATATATTTTATTTATCTGCTTAGTGTGCATGCGTGTGTGTGTGTGTGTGTGTGTGTGTGTGTGTGTGTGTGACACATTCCATATGTGGTGACCAGAAAACAGCACACAGAAGTCAGATCTTTCTTTCTACCATATGGGTCCCAGAGATTGAGCTCAGATCCTCAGGTTTGGTGGCAGGGACCAATTTCACTAGTACAAAATAAATTCTTAAATTTTTCTTTCTTTCAGTGTTTCTAAGGTTTTTGTCATAGTGATAGAAAGTGAATAACTATCAAGAAAAAAAAAGTCAACACAGAAAAATGTGACATAGAAACTGAGAGCAGCTCCTGTCCCTTATCCTCCACTTAATCAGGAACTCTTTGTTCAGATGATGATCCAGCGATTTGGCCATGTACCCGTTCACTTTCCACACAAACGGACAGTGTGCACTCTCTCTCTCTCTCCCTCCCTCCCTCCCTCTCTCCCTCTCCCTCTCCGTCTCTGTCTCTTGCTCTCTTTCTCTTTCTCTGTGTCACACACACACACATAAAAAAAAAAGACCAACAGCTAAAACCTTCCACCCTCTTTCTCCTAAGGTTGTGCTGAAGGATTTACTGGACTCCAGAGAGAGAATGCAAGTCCTCTGTAGACTCTGACCTGTGAGCACACCAAGAGCCTGACCCTGGAGAGAAGCAGAAGTAGGCAGAAGGTGAGTAATAACCCTAAACCCGAGCAGAGAGAATCCATAACGCCAAGGGATTTACATTTCTCTGCTCCACGCCTCAATCACGAGTGCTGTTTTTAACTAATTTAGATATGGCTTCTAATGAATTTTAATTCTTTAATGGCAATTTCAATTCTTAATTTCTTTAAGTCTTTTTTTTTTTTTCAAAAACATCACTGGCATTTTCAGGAAGGCAGTCGTTAGCCAGAAACTACTCTTCATTAGGTGGCAGCTGTCCAAATTAAAGGTTCAGTGCGAAGAAGGAAAATGCAAGACCACAAAGCTCCCTCCTCAACCGTCATCCACAAGCAAGAGAAAAGCAGCCTCAAGGTCTGAACATCCACATATGGTGACTACAGGGTCCAGAGTCCCGCTGGGACGGCCCTCTCATTCCTGGACCCTGAAAGCAAGGCAGGAAGATAAAGTTTAGGATGCTCTAGGTAGACTAGTCAGAATTTGCAATCAGCGCTACAGAATGTCTATCAGTCAGTGTCACGACCTGTGTTGGGAGTGATGTCAGTGTGATTGATTTAAGAGATGCCTACCCTTGTAACACATACATCTGGGCTGTCTGTATGAACATTTCCAGAGTGGGGTGACATCTTTTGTGATCTGAGTTGGTAGGGACAGCTGTGGGCACATCTGAGACCATAACCTGCAGCCCACTTACATAAAACCTGGGGCCTTTCTTCACCAGGTCTGAGTCATATTCTTATAGCGCAGACTGGGATCATAGCAATATTTCCCATAGTTGTGAGGATCTGGAGGCCACTCTCCCCAAGAGGTCAGCAACATGGGTTCCAATTCTGCAATGATTTCTGCAGTCACATGAGAGCTCCCCTGCACCACCTCTTCACCTCCAACTCAGTTCCACAATGCCTTTCTCCCTGTTGGAGAACATATGGAACTCTGGGATCATGATTATCCAAAAGGGTCGAATTTGACTTCTGGCTAGTGTTGATCGAGCTAAAGTCCCATGACCAGTGATGAACTGAACATTCTTCTCGCTCTTCTGACTTTTCCCAGCCTGTGTTGGAAACAGGGCCTTTTTCTCTTTCGCCTCTCAGCTTTGGGAGAACCGACAATTACCAACAGAATCTCCTAAGCATTCTCTACCCTGCCCTCCTACCAGATCCAAACCAGGAGTTTAAAACTTACCCAAGGTCACTTACAGCAAGTGGCAAGCCCAAACAATAACTCAAGAAATGAATACTGGGAATATATAAAAATATCAGGAATTTTTAGTGCCTCTCTCTAAGAACTAAGGTTGCACCTTATGCCCGTTTCTCATTAGTTTCATTAGAAATAACATTCAAACTGCCTAACAGATTGTTTTCCTTCAGCTTCATTCAAAATGACAAAATAGATTGACTTCAACCACACACGACTGAGATGTTGTGTTTACAAGGAGTCACAGAGCCACAACAGCACAAATCCTCCTGGATGCTGAAGGCAAGCGAACGCAAGTCACCCGAATGCTCCCTGCACCGCAGTGGCCGTCTGAGGAGCATGTGGTGTAATCGGGAGCAGCATTCTTATGACACTACCAATTACTAACAAAAGGCAACTTCCAAGGGGAAGTGGCGAGGGGTCTGCCAGAGTGCACGCATGTTGAAGTTTCCAGAAGGGGCTGCCACCCTGGGAGGCTCTGAAGTCGTGAGACGGGGAGGTAGCAGCGGAGTGTTCCAACAGCCGTCTCTGGTTGATCAGACAATGAGCACACAGATGTGAAACTGTAATCTAAATTGGATTTTGGCGGAAGACATTCACAGATCAGCCACCGCAGACTTCATGCTCTGTTTTCTTCACCATAGACTTCTCACTGCCCTGCCAATGCCAACAGTCGCTGCTAAGAGCCCTTGCAGCTCCCGGGTCACTGCTAATGAAGGGTGTGTGGACCTGGCTTTGCCTCTTCAACTGTTTTATGTGAACACCCCACACACCCTCCACCCCAGCAAAGGGCAGTTGTAATGACAGTTTCTTATCACCTGGGGCTAGAATTTCAAGCCAACCTCTACAGGAACCACATTTCTGAGCCACAAGCAGGAGAGAATAGCACTATTGTGCTGGCCCTGGAGAGGGTGGGGTTGAGATACAATCTGTCCCCACTTTAAAAGTAGGCAGTCATATTAGAAGGGGAAACTGGCCTTTTTGCATGAATTATAAAGGCACAGTAGGTCAAGCTAACTCAAGGGCAAATGTCTACTCTCCCTGGTATTTGGGAAACAGCAACACTTTCCAATGGTCAGTGACCCATATCCTGCTCTGCAGAAGTGCACAGCTCTCTGAGCAACAAGCAGATACCCGGCCTACAGGGAGCCAGGGCAACAACCTTGTGTACAGAGAACTGATTTGGAAGAAGGGACAATGTAGGATGGTCAGTGACTGGGTAGCTTCACCCCCAAAGGTGTGCCATGGTGGTAGCCGCTAGTACATCCCATGTGCCCGATGTCAGTTTAACTATTACTAGCAAATGATGCTTTTTAAGATGATTTCATTGTATGAAATGTAACTTTGAAAATATTCCTTCCACGTCAAACACAAAGCCATAATTAGTTTGCCTCCGCTCCCCTCCAGGCTGATTGGCATAATAAGTCATAAAGAAGAACCTGAGCCAGACGGTCCTTTCTGATGCAACACAATCACTTTTCTCTTTGCTACAACAAAATACCTACAAAAGCAACCTTAGGAAGGAAGGAGGTTTATTTTGGTTCACGGTCTAAAGGGATACAGTCCATCGTGGTGGGAAAGCGGGATGGCAAGGGCCTGAGGCAACAACTGATCACAATACATCCACAGTCAGGAACGGAAGCCTGATGAACGCTGGCGTTTAATCCAGTCACTCCTTTTGTCCAGTATGGAACCAGGCGCTCACATTCAGGATGAGTCTTTGCTCCTCAATTAATCCAACCTTGAAATTCCCTTACAGACAAGTCTCCTAGGTCATTTTAGATTCTGTCAAGTTGACACTGGTGATTTACCATCATATCTATAATTTCCTAAAGCTTCTATAGACGAGGAGTCCCTCCCCGAGACCTCTTCTTTGGTCTGCCCTTCAGGATCTCAGACCATGCTCCCATGTGCAGTGCAAACACAGCAGAGGGGCAGCACAAACTCCCAGGTTTATACTGGTGGATGAAGGACATAGATGGATTCTTGGCAAAGCACAAGGCCCTGGGATCTGATGCTTAGCAGCAACGGCTTGCTGATGAGAGATGCTGTTTTCAGGATACAGGGTCTTCCCCACGGGCTCCTGTGCTGGAATACCTATTTTCCAGGCTGAGGCACTCTTTTGGAGGTGGAGAAACCTTGGGAAGAGAGACATCTATGGTATACTAGCTCTAGGCCCCACCCACATCATGTCTTCGGGATGAGGACACACAGTTGTAGGCTATCCTAACTCCAGACCAAGTCTTAGCTTTCTGACACACCAAGAGATGAACGAACCATACTGCGGCTCCTGATTGAAACAGCATCCACTTCACCATGCCATCCCTACCACAACAGACTGGTACTTAAGTTTTTTCCGCCAGGCAGTTTGTGTTGTTGTTGTCACAGTTAAGTAAAAGGTTACAAGACGGGAGAGAAAGCAGAGGACCGACCTCCAGGGCACCCACGGAGCTCAACTCTTCTACCGCCAAGTGTTGTCCCTGAAGTCAGAGGCAGCAGTACATCGGAGAAGAACCCCTGGAAAGTCAAGATTAAATGCAGATGGAGAGGCAGATGCAGGAGGAGCAAGCAGTGCGGATAGAGATGCAGGGACAGATGTAACTGTGGATACAAGTGGAGATGATGCAGATTTGTATACAGATACGGGTATAGATTA